TCTGTGATTTTTTTTCTTCTGTTGCTGGGACTGAAGGCCTCTCTATAGGCCAGACCCTGTTAACTCCCAGGGACTAATCAGATTTTTTTAATCCTTGGTACCATTCAGGGTGGAATCTGGGTGTGGCTGTATTCCTTGCCTGGAGACTGGAGGGAGGGGTTATATCTTCAGGAGAAAATGGCTGCCCAGGTCCTGGGCTCAGGCGTGACTCAGCACTCAGCTTGCTGCCACCTCTCCTGGACCCCCTTCTCTCCCCAGCCTCTCCCCAGATTCCACTCGTCCACACCTTCTCCTGCCCCTCAGCATGAGTGAGTGTCTGTATCCGAAATGTCCTATGAACAGGGTTCAGTGAAAAACAAACAAACGCTGGCCACAGAAATGGGGAAGATTGAGTCTCTGTGAGCTCCTCTCTTACCGGCACTGCATGGTCTGGTCAGCGCTTCAGGCTGCCCCCTCTGGGCTCAGTCTTCCGTAATTATGGAACCCAGATCTCAAATCCCCCAGTGCCAACAGTCCTGCGGATCTTTCTACAGTCAGAGGCTGTGCCTGTCCCAAGTGACGTGGCTGGGTGCCGCACGGTTTCCCTCTGACCCTCTGGGCTCAGAGATCTGGTAAACTTTCCTGTCCAGATCCCTGGTTTTTACCTTTCCAGGGGAACTCTGCCCTTCCCGGCTGCAAACTGTCTCACCAGCTGAGTCTCCTTCACCAATTCGAGGTGGATGTTATTCGTTTCAGCTGCTCATTCTATTTGCTCTAGGACAAGCCTTGGGATGTTTCAGCCTATTCCGCCGCCATCTTGTCTCTCTTCTGCCCATTTTTTAATTGGATTGTTTGACTTCCTTTTGTTGAGTTATATGAGTACTTTATATATTTTGGAAATTCACCCCTTATCTGGTGTAGAATTGGCAAATATGTTCTCCCATACAGTGGGTTCTCTTTTCATTTTGATGCTGGTTTCTTTTGCTGTGCAGAAGCTTTTCATTCTGATGTAGTTCCATTTGTTTATTTTTTCCTTTGTTTCTCTTGCCTTAGGCGATGAATTGGGGAAAATTCTGCTATGTGAGATGTCTGAGATTATGCTGCCTACATTTTCTTCTAGGATTTTTATAGTTTCATGACTTATACATTTAAGCTTTTTATCCATTTTGAGTTTATTCTTGTGTATGGTGTAAGTTGGTGGTCTACTTTCAATTTTTTGCATATATCTGTTCAATTTTCCCAGCACCATTAATGGAAGAGACTGTCTTGACTCCATTGTATGCTCTTGCCTCCTTTATCAAATATTAATTGAGCATAGTGGTTTGGATCAATTTCTGGGTTCTTGTTCTGTTCCATTGATCTTTTTGCCTATTATTGTGCCAGTACTAGGCTGTTTTTATTACAGTGGCTCTGTATTATAACTTGATATCCAGTATTGAGATCCCTTCAACTTTGTTCTTCTTTTTCAAGGCTATTGTGGCTATTCGGGGGCTTTTTGGTTCCATGTAGACTTTTGGTGTATTTGTTATAGATATGTGAAATATGTTGTTGGTATTTTAATAGGGATTGCATTGAATGTATAGATTGCTTTGGGTAGTAAGGACATTTAAATTATGTTAATTAAACCAATCTATGAACATGGTATATTCTTCCACTTGTTTATATCTTCCTCTATCTCTTTTTTTTCAACGTCCTATAGTTTTCCAAGTACAAGTCTTTTACCTCCTTGGTTAAGTTTATTCCTAGGTATCTTAATTTTTTGTTGCAATGGTAAATGGGATTTTTTTTGTATCTCTTTCTGAGTGTTCATTATTAGTGTGTAAAATGCATCAGTTTTTGGGTGTTAATTTTGTATCCTGCTACATTCCCAAATTGATTTATTAAATCTAGTAGCTTTTTGGTGGAGTCTTTAGGGTTTTTTTGTACAACATCATGTCTTCTGCAAATAATGACAGTTATACTTCCTCCTTTCCAATTTGGATGCCTTTTATTTTTTCTTCTTGTCTGATAGCTGTGCCTAGGGCTTTCAGTACTATGTTGAATAAGAGTGGTGAAAGCAGACATCCCTGTCTTGTTCCTGTTCTTAGGGGAAATGGTTTTATTTTTTGCCCATTGAGTAGATGTTGGCTGTAGGTTTGTCATATATGGCCTTTATTATGTTGAAGTATTATCCCTGTGTTTCCACTTTGCTGAGAGTTTTTATGAAAAATGGGTGCTGGATTTTGTCAGATGCTTTTTCTGCATCTATTGGTATAGTCATGTGATTTTTGTCTTTCAAATTGTTTATATGATGCATCACATTTATTATTACTTTTTAAAAATATGTTTTTATTAATATTTAGAGAGAGAGGAAAGGATAGGGATCAAGAGACAGAAACCTCAATGAGAGGGAAATATCAAGGATTGGCTGCCTCCTGCACGCCCCTTGCCAGGAATTGAGCCTGAGACCCAGGCATGTGCCATGACCTGGAATTGAACTAGTGACCTCCTGGTGCATAGGTCGACGCTCAACCTCTGAACCACACCCACTGGGTGTGTATCACATTTATTGATTTATGAATATTGTACCAACCTTGTATCCCTGGAATAAATCCCATTTGGTCATGGTGTATGACCTTCTTAATACATTGCTGGTTCAAATGTGCTAATATTTTCTTGAGGTTTTAGCGTCAATGTTTATCAGGGATATTGGCTTGTAATTCTCTTTTGTTGTATTATCCTTATCTTGTTTTGGAATTAGGATAATGCTGGCTTCATAAAAAGAGCTTGGAAGTGTTCCTTCCTTTTGGATCTTTTGGAATAGTTTGAGGAGAGATGTGTTAGTTTTTCTTTGAATATTTGTTAATACACCCCTGTGAAGCCATCCAGACCACGGCTTTTGTTTGCTGGGAGTTTTATGATTACTGTTTCAATTTCATCAGCTGTTATTGGCCTATTCAGGTTTTCTGATTCTTTCTGATTCAGTTTTGGAAGAATGTATTTTTCTAGGAATTTGTCTGTTTTTATCCAGGTTGTCCAACTTGTTGGCCTATAATTGTTCCTAGTATTTTCTTACATTCTTTTGTATTTCTGTGGTGTCGGTTGTTACTTTACCTCTTTCATTTCTGATTTTATTTATTTGGGTCCTGTCTCTTTTTTTCTTGATGAGTCTGGCTAAATGTTGATCAATCTTGTTTATTTTTTCAAAGAATCAGTTCTTAATTTCATTGATATTTTGTATTTTTTTTTAGTGACTCTGTCATTTCCACTTTTATCATTATTATTTCTTTCCTTCTACTTACTCTGGGCTTTTCTGTTGTTCTCTTTCTAATTCTTTATCTTGTAGGGTTAGATAGTTTATTAGAAATTTTTCTTGTTTTTTTCAGGTAGGCCTGTAGTGCTATGAAATTCCCTCTTGAGACTGCTTTTATTGTGCTCCTTAGATTTTGAGTTGTTGTGTGTTCATTTTCATTTGTTTTCAGGAACTTTTGTATTTCTTCCTTGATGTCATTGATTTCCTCATTGTTTTCTTATTTATTTATTTATTTATTCATAGCTCTGTGTGTTTTTTGTTTGTTTGTTTTGAATATTTTTTAAAAATTGATTTTAGAGAGAGGAAGGGAGCCAAAAAAAGAGCTCAAGAGAAATAGAGGGGCAATTCTAAGAAATCATTGCCTAATTCATGATTATAAAGATTTCCTTCTAAGTTTTCTTCTAAAAGATTTATAGTTGTAGCTTTGACATTTAAGTCTCATATTCATTTTCATTTAACTATTGTGTATGGTGTGAGGTAAGGGTCTAAGATTGTGTTTTTGCATGTTGATATCTAATTGTCCTAACACCACATGTAAAAAAACTATCCTTTCACCATTGAATTGCTTTGGTGCCTTTGTTGAAAATTAATTGACCATAAATATTAAGATTTATTTCTGAACTTTAAATTCTGTTCCATTTATCTATCTTTATGCTAGTCACAGAAGAACAAATACCACACTAACTTGATAACTATAGTTTTATAGTGAGTTTTAAAATTAGAAAGTGTAAGTCCTCCAAGTTTATTTTTTAAATATTCAAAATAGTTTTTAGGATCCCCTTCTCCGCCCCCCCTTCCCTCTGGCAACCACCACACTGCTGTTTGTGTTCATGAGTTTCAGTTTTATATCCCACATATGAGTAAAATCATATGGTTCTTAGCATTTTCTGACTGACTTATTTCACTTAGCATAATGTTCTCAAGGTCCATCCATGTTGTTGCAAATGACACTATTTCATCCTTTCTTATGACTATTATTCCATTGTGTATATATACCACATGGTCTTTATCCAGTCCTCTATCTTGGGACACTTTGGTTGTTTCCATGTCTTGGCCACCATGAATAATGCTGCAATGAACATAGGGGTGCATATATCTTTGCAAATACATGATTTTGAGTTTTTCGGGTATATACTCAGGAAAGGGATCGTATGGTAGCTCTATTCCTAATTTTTTGAGGAATCGCCACACTACTTTCCATAGTGGTTGTATCAGTCTACATTCCCACCAGCAGTGAATGTGGGTTCCCTTTTTCCCACAACCTCTACAATACTTGTTATTGCTTATCTTGTTGACAATTGCCACTCTAACAGGAGTAAAGTGGTATCTCATTGTAGTTTTGATTTGCATTTCCCTAATTGCTATGAGGTTGAAGATCTATTACAGGGGTCCTCAAACTACGGCCCGCGGGCCACATGCAAATACAAATATTGTATTTGTTCCCGTTTTGTTTTTTTACTTCAAAATAAGATATGTGCAGTGTGCATAGGAATTTGTTCATAGTTTTTTTTTAAACTATAGTCCGGCCCTCCAACGGTCTGAGGGACAGTGAACTGGCCCCCTGTTTAAAAAGTTTGAGGACCCCTCCTCTAAAAGGACAGTGATGTCAGTGACGCACAAGCCTACAACTGTGAGGTAAATTCAAGAAGAGAAGTTTGATTGGATTTGTTTGGTGGTTAGTTTTATGAGTTCTTTATATATTTTAGAATTTATTTCTTTATTTATTTTCTCATTAAACTTTGTTATTTTAATGGGTCTCAAAATTCTGTGACAGATTTTTGGTCATGTTGTTTCCATTAAAAAGTACTGATTTTAAAAACTAATAACTTAAAAACTGCCACACACACAAAAGAACCAAATGGTCCACAAAACATTCTCCTTTCCTTCTGAAGGTTTTACGATGCATTGTAATCATTAACCAGTCTTTTACTATTAAACTCAAAAGGCCATTGAGGCAAATAGTTCTGAGACGGTTCTTCCACCACTGATTAAGACTGGGGTGGCAGGTGTTGGAAATAATATTCATTTAGCCTTCTGAGCTTTCTGGGCAGACTTGGTGACTTTGCCAGCTCCAGCTGCCTTCTTGTCCACTGCTTTGATGACACCCACAGCAACTGTCTGTCTCATGTCACGAACAGCGAAACGGCCCAGAGGAGGGTAGTCAGAGAAGCTCTCAACACACGTGGGCTTGCCAGGAATCATATCAACGATGGCAGCATCACCAGATTTCAAAAACTTGGGGCCATCTTCCAGCTTTTTCCCAGAACGACGATCAATCTTCTCCTTCAGCTCAGCAAATTTGCAAGCAATGTGAGCTGTGTGACAATCCAGCACAGGTGCATATCCAGCACTGATCTGGCCTGGGTGGTTCAGGATAATCACCTGGGAAAAAGGATTTGAATTTATTTCCTGAGTCTCAAAAGACATTTAAGGCTCTGGGAGGAAGAACATGACATTTAGTGTTACCTGAGCTGTGAAGCCAGCTGCTTCCATTGGTGGATCATTTTTGCTGTCACCAGCCACATTGCCACGGCGAACATCTTTGACAGACACGTTTTTGACGTTGAAGCCGACATTGTCCCCAGGAAGAGCTTCACTCAAAGCTTCATGGTGCATTTCAACAGACTTTACTTCAGTTGTAACATTGACTGGAGCAAAGGTGACCACCATGCCGGGCTTGAGAACACCAGTCTCCACTCGGCCCACAGGGACAGTACCAATACCTAAAATGTTTAGGGCATAGTCATAAATGCTTGTGAAGAAATTGTAGTCTCCCATACATGTCACTTTCTGATATTTATGTTCAACTTACCACCAATTTTGTAGACATCCTGGAGGGGCAGACGCAGGGGCTTGTCAGTTGGACGAGTTGGTGGCAGGATGCAATCCAGAGCTTCAAGCAATGTGGTTCCACTGGCATTGCCATCTTTACGGGTGACCTTCCATCCCTTGAACCAAGGCATCTGAAGAACACAAGATCATCAATTACTGTTACCTGCCCCCATACCTGGCCCGCTTCTTTCCAGTGTTTTCAACTGTCTTAAAACTCACATTAGCACTTGGCTCCAGCATGTTGTCACCATTCCAACCAGAAATTGGCACAAATGCTACTGTGTCAGGGTTGTAGCCAATTTTCTTAATGTAGGTGCTGACTTCTTTAACAATTTCCTCGTATCTTTTCTGGCTGTAGGGTGGCACAGTGGAATCCATTTTGTTAACACCAACAATCAGCTGTTTCACACCCAGTGTGTAGGCCAGAAGGGCATGCTCACGGTCTGTCCATTCTTGGAGCTACCTGCTTCAAATTCACCAACACCAGCAGCAACAATCAGGACAGCACAGTCAGCCTGAGATGTGCCTGTAATCATGTTTTTGATGAAGTCTCTGTGCCCTGGGGCATCAATGATGGTCACATAATACGTGCTGGTCTCGAATTTCCACAGGGAGATATCAATGGTGATACCGCCCTCCCGTTCAGCTTTCAGTTTATCCAAGACCCAGGCATCCTTGAAGGAGCCCTTCCCCATCTCAGCAGCCTCCTTCTCAAATTTCTCAATGGTTCTTTTGTCGATCCCCCCACATTTGTAGATCAGATGGCCAGTAGTGGTAGACTTGCTGGAATCTACGTGTCCAATGACGACGATGTTGATGTGGTCTTTTCCTTTCCCATCTTGGGTTTGAGTTACTGGTGGTTTTCACGACACCTGTGTTCTGGCGGCAAACCCGTTGCGAAAAAGCTATATTTTAGAATTTAAACCTTTGTTGGAGCTACTGTTTGCAAATATCATCTCCCATCTAGTTGGCTGTCTCTTTGTTTTGTTTTTAGTTTATTTTGCTGTGCAGAAGCTTTTTAGTTTGATATAGTTCTTTTCATTTATTTTCGCCTTTTCTTCCCTTGCCTTTGGGGTCAAGTTCATAAAATGTTCTCTATGACCAAGGTCTATAAGTTTGGTACCTATATTTTCTCCTATATTTCCTCCTTAGAGTCTCAGGTCTTATATTTAGTATTTGATCCATTTTGAATTAATGTTTGTACATGAGTATAAACTGTAATTTAGTTTCATTCATTTGCATGTGGCTTTCCAGTTTTCCCAGTACCATTTATTGAAGAGACTATCTTTACTCCATTGTGTATTTCTGGCTCCTTTGTCGAAAATTATCTAATCCCATACACGTGGTTTTATAGCTGGGCTCTCTATTCTGTTCCATTGCTCTGTATGTCTTTTTCTCTGCCAGTACCGTGCTGTTTTGATTACCAGGTGTACCAGTTAATAATGCGGATTTTTTTCAATAGATGGAGTTACACATATGTTGATATATATGCGATTTGATATGTATGCTATTTTGTTGTGTTGACAG